CAAACTTCTCACAAACAAGTATTGTAGTCTTCACGGTATTCATGTGCAAAACTATTAGTTACAAAGAGGTGTAGTAGAGATATTGGTCTACGAAATTCCTCTTCAATCTGAGCACACATATGACGCAAGATTGCTATCGTTTAGCGCATCAGTAAAAAATAATGACTGTGCCGCATGTTTATAGACAAAGTGTAGCCAAATATATACCTCTTTTAAGGGTCGATTGAAATCACGCACACGTTACAAAAGGAACCTTACTGGCGAATAAGAGACTATCAGTTAAACGGTATTTTCGAATAAGAGTTGAGCACAAAAATCAGTGGGCCATTAGAGAATCCGCTACATGATCAGCAAAAACTCAAGAATCAGCCATCATTGAAGTCCACGAAGTACTCTAGCCAGTTGATGATAGTCAGGACAAAGCTTTCGGACATGATGTGTAACATTAGGGTCATTTATCATAAAGCGTGGCCCTTAACATCACCACGGTAATTAGTGTGTTCGCGCCAACCCTTCCGTTAAACCGCACGACAATTAAGTCTCTATCTAGTGGCTTTGAACTTCAGAAACCGAGAGGATTTGAGTAAATATTATAGTACCAAATTAGGCGTGTTCTTCCTCCAGTATCACGGACGAACAAGTGAGTATGCAAGGGATGGAACATTTCCTATTCGATAGGGTAGGTAAAAAGAGAGATGAAGTGACGACACAAATTAACAATCGCTTCAAAGCCGAAACACAAAGCTTTAGTTGGCTGACAGAATCATGCTACTATTGCTCCGATAAAGACAGACCAGATTACAGCAACCACACCTGGGGTTTTTCCAAATATCACATGTTTCTCGTCAAATCTTTCCATATCACGGGACAGTTGGACGACCTATTCGGACCAAACGATAACGGTTCGTGTATTATCTTTTGACTAGGAGCATTCGACTCAAAACTTCATGTAATCAAGGATACAGCTGCGAAGATAGGTTTCACTTACCCATGTTTATCTTGGATCCCAAACTCCATGGAGAAAAATATATTTCGAATCAGATCAAAGAAACTGCACTCAGGCTAGATGATCTGAAAGAGAAACGATCATTTCCTAATGCTTGAATTTTTGCTTTTTCTTCACATTGGGATCAACCAGTCAACCTCTTTCTTGATGACATGATAGCTGCTGATATCCGAAAAGGTTTCTGCCCTGAGATAACCAAACTAGCTCAAATTAAAACATGTAAAAATCCACACAGCTACGAAACTGATAAGAGTTTGTGTAATCCATTAACTGGACTACCTTTCATTGAATAATAATAAAGACGTGAAACCGTACTGAATTATTAAGAAGCAGGATCAATGAAATCATTCGCTCTATTTAAGATTGCGAATAATAAAATGGTATATTGGATCTTACACGAAGAATATTTCCTAGGCCATTCTCAAAACGCAAACTGTGGAGGCGGGCGTTTGGTTTTCATGAAGTCATTACTGAAAAAAGCATTAAGTCAAATCGCTATTGTTCCAGCTCTGCCTGAGTTTCGGAGACCTGAGGTAATCTTTCATGACGTTTTGCACAGTTCTCAGGTACGATGTAAGTCCAGTAGGAAGAACCAAAGTAGAGGCCAACTGAAACGTCTTCGCAATGAATTATACCGAAAACGTCATTCCAAAAAAGTTACTTGGAAAATATTTTCAAGTAAAAATGGTAAGTTATTTTCTTCCAGACTCAAAGATTGTAGCCTACTGTGTCTAGTATAGTAGCATGTTGTTACCTAATTAGGTGCTACGTAGCACGACAGGTTAATCTCTACAGATTAACATGTCATCTTTAAACCGATAGGTCAACATAAGACAGAAAAGCTAATATATGAAAGTGAATCGAACAAAGAATAGGAATTTTAAATGCCTTAGGTGTTAGGTCGAAATTCTCTAACTGGATTTTGTATACTTTGAGCTGGTTATTAGTCTAATTTTCGTTTCCATTAACGCACACTTATATGCTCTTATCCTAAATGTCTTCTATGTTCGCCGTTATTTACACCACAAGACGAACGTTTAGATACAGTGGACTCGATTTAGAAAATTATACATGGTTAGTAACACTTATTTACAAGAAATGACATCGCACCTCGTTGTACATACAAAACTCCACTGTCACTGACGAAAATCCGCAAAAAAAGTTACAGTTAACAGGTTACGCGCTAATTATTTTGAATTTTCAGCTTCATATATCAATCACGTCCCCACTACATACGCCTAATTTGTTTCAATGTAGCAGATGTAAGTGAGAAAGTAAATGCGAAGATAATGATTTATTAGAAAATTATGAATAAAATGTAGAGAGTTTTAGAAAATTGGAGTCTCAGTGTTACTATTCAGAATTGAAATAACCGTCCTGTGAATTCTGAAATATTAAAACTAACATTCACAACACAACTAAACTGCGGAATTTTTTTATCTACAACTGGCAACGTAAAACGAGAATTACGGCAGCTCGTCGAGACTGAACACTACAGTTATTGAACAGCGATAAAAAGTTGCCACCTCAACATATTTATCATATCTCTTTTGTGACTTGCAGCTGATCTCATGTCACTCAGTGCTTTGATGAGTTCAGTGAGTCCCGTGAAATGATCTAGCAGGTCAGTGAAAGCTCTAGATCTAATTAATTCCTTTTTCCTTGATATCAGTGATTACCCCAGGTTTTCATGTATCATTACTACATTATCCGGCTTAAATGAAGTTATAGTAGTATAGTTATAGTTGTAGTAGTATACTTAGAAGTATTTTTTCTGTTTCTTACAGTCGTACGTGTCTGCTGTAGTTGCCGAAATGATAACTTAAAGCCTACTACAGGAAATTATCTCTTCTGCATAACTGTGACTTGCTTACTTAGCCATAGGCTAAAAGCTATGTACTGTTTTTTAGTATCTCATATAAGACTCGAATGGAAAATCTGATAGCGGATCTTGCAAAATAACGTTAACGAATGTACGCTATAAACTAAGTGTTCAGATCCGTAGCACTATTCACATTCTCTAAGAAAATCACACAAGTCATTTCTAACTGAACCTGTCACACTGCTGCAAAACTTAAGACACGTTTGCGCTAATGCTAGACGTCTAGAATTTAAGTACGGAGGTGGTAGTGATTTATTTTTAGGAACTATAAAGAGGACAATAAACACTGTCGCTACCCATACAGATACAAAGTCTAATGTACGACATTTATGCTGAAAGTCTGAAGTACTTTCAACACAACTCAAGAATAACATATGCCCGTGATAATAGTTTTATTCACACTCGAAGTTCTTTATGAGGAATCTACCCATAAATAGATTTTTTTTCTTCATTACACATAAATATCCCAAGTGCACTGGATCTGAAGGGAATCTTGAAACCATATTGATTGGAAGTGTCTCAAAATTAGAACGTCCATGGTGCGAGTTGGTTGACTTTGTTAATGAAAACTGTCATCAGTTCGCGATATTCATCGTTTAAAAATATCATCCTTCCTTCAATGAAATAACCCACTACTACATGCATATCATAGCCTGCTTCTCCGTTGTAACTGTATTTAACTTCTGAACGAGCAGGTGCGTCAAACGTGACGGCAACCACATTAGTAGCTATACATTTGCTCATTCAAAGGTTTCAAGCTATTTAGTTGTACTATAATATGCTGTTCCTTAGCTTACAAGGCCCGATCTAGAGTACGAGTAGTTGGCCAAATGTCTTGAATGCCAAAACACCAGTTTACTTACTCCCACCTTCTACATTGTCCTCAAAGCAAGTTATCCAGTTTCCTCAACTCTAGAAAATGACCAACTTTTCAGTGGTCAAACATTTGCTTTCTCAGATAACGCTAAGATTATGTTTTATTATAAGGTTATTTGTCTGTTCCCACTGGAATGCTTCCGGGAATGAACGCCTGTCATGTTAAGAAGCGACACTATAGACAGCTATATGTGTCGTTTATCGCAGGACATACATACGCCGTGGCACCAGTACTTACCGCGCTACCCACCATTATCTCCTGGTAAGTCGGCTTTGACAATTACCTCTTGCAAAACATCATCTATGAGCATTCCTTGACACGTGAGATTGATGTTCATGAAGCTTTGGTGAGTAACCACAAGTAAAACCGGAATCTTTGAAGAAGGAACACCACTGTCCCATTCAAGTAGTGTATAATTCAAAACGAGTGTCATTGGTAACTAAGACGACGTGAAACAACTAAAAATGATGTAAACGCTAAGAAGATCCGAAAGCTGTCCTTCACAGTGGTTTTCATAACTAAAAACAGCTGATAATCACCTAGTCGTTCACCGTTGAAGACTCCAGAATTAAGTCCATTGTGGCTAGCAGTGAAATCCAAGACTTTAGCTGCATGTGCGTGCATCCAAACAACCATTACAAACACAGAAGTAGCTCCTGCTTAGTTGAACATTATTTATTCGGATTCATCATAGTAATCATGTACCTTCTCTACAACTGACAGATGTTCATGGTGTATCATCAAGAATTTACCAGTCTTGAATGCAATGGTGATCCAAACATTGTCTATATATATATATATATGTAGAGAGAGAATTGAAAGTAAACACCTTTAACTTTGCAGTGCAATAAATTTGTTTATGTGAACGTATCCAAAGTAAACTTTTTTCCTGAATTATTTTACAGACTCTCAGTCCAAACCTGACAAGTGCGGTTCTGTCAAACCTAAAAATATCAGCAAAGTCAATCCTGAACTAATAAAACTTGCAAAACAAATAAATCAAAGTAGGCGCGAGGTTTTCGAAGCAACATCCAACAGGACGATAAGCAAGAAGACAGAAAGTGTTCTTTTCAACCAAGATTATGATCATTTTAAGGATGACTTAAAGACTCTTATATGCTCATAATTTCCATTATATAATCATGATTTTCCGTAATTAGTTAACTGGTTTCTTCAATACCCATTTTTTCAAATGTACAGATGGATAACTAACAGCTAGAAAACTGGTGGGACGTAGTTGTATAGATACTTTATTTTTACCGGTACGAACAAATATTATAAAATAAAAAATGTTTCCTATTAGTTTTTGTGACGGAATACTAGTTTAAATGTTCGATACGTTGACAGGAATAAGGCGAAACCAATTGGTACGAAAAGCGGCGTATAAATACCATATTTTTGGTCATCCTACAAAAAATAAATTGTGTAATTATTAAGCGAGTAGGTAAATCTTCAGAAACTAGTTATTTATGTGATAATCAGAATGAAAGCAGTCAAAGAAACCTACTTTGACGTTTTCGCAACGCTCAGTAGATTTGAATGTGATTTTTGTTCTGCCGTAAGGTCGACGACCAAGATTCTCAATCAAATGTTGAATCGTAAGGAATGGCTACAAACCCTAATTGTATTGTTCCCCCTGGTACGGTCGAGAGTGGGGAGAGTCTGCTCTTCCTCTTGAAATGCCATCATATGACCATGTGTATTTAGTCACTACTGTGGAAGTTCTACTCACCACCATTTCGTTGCGTGGTCGTTGTTTACGAAATCGAGAAGACGAGAGCAAATGTCCAGCACTTAAGCCAGGTTCATGCACGGATCATGACTTTCCTCCCAAGAAATCATACAAGCTTCTGCAGTCTGCATAAACTCACGGAAGTAGGTAGTCGGATGACTACTCATCTTTTTCTGTATTTAAGAATATTCCTCTGTAAGGATTGAACTTGGAAGGTATATCAAGCACATTATTTATGAAGCCAACTTAGCAGAGTTGGAGAACCCTGATTCCAAACTAACGATTCTCATAGACTCCAGGATCCTGAGAGGACAAATAGCGTTCAAACCTATTCTTGATCACCGGCTGCCATGAGACCGCAACTCCCAGCGTTGCTCCACTACATCGTGGATTAAACCTCTTGGTCAAAAGTTCGGGGAGTGGCCCCCAAGACCGCATTCTATGGTTTGGGCACTCCGACAAAATCCTTGGAGAAAAAAATTTATTGATAACTACTTTGTGTGGCGCATATACATTTTGTTATCCCTTAGTATCAATGTGTTTCAATAAATACCACTTACAATGGTGTGTGCTAGTGGGACAGAAAGAAGCTTGGGCACTATGGTTAAATTCATTAACCACAAATAATTTAGAGTCTTAAGATTAGCAAAGATCTCACTACAATACGGAGTTCCAGTTACACAAGAATATCTACACAACAAAAGGTAAATAATAACTATGCGTTTGCACACCTGTCAAAAAGACGTACAATTTAATTTTAAAGGCTAATTCCCCAAAAATCACGTCTTCCCTCCGTAAAAGGTGATTTTGCATTCCTAAGGTTTAAGGGGGATAGTGACTCCGTATTATTCACTAGATTTAATATAGTAAAGCATTGGGTTACATTGAATCTAATAAGTGGTTCCCAGGTACTTGGTAAGGTGAGCATTCCATAATAATTAGACATAATTTGACATGCTTTCACCAACCGTTCTAGACGACGATAATAATAAAAAGCTTACTCACCTCGAAATATAAAAGACCAAGCAGGCTGTGGTCGAAAAACGCGCCATTTGAAGAAATTAAAGCATTATGTGCATATTGGAATGTAACACCAAAGGAGCACATAATCTCGTTGTGTGACGACGCTGAATTGTTTATTTCATCTGGTTTTTTGAGATTATCAAGAGCTAATGACCAATTCGAACATGAATGATATACTTCATGAGCAACATCATCTCGTATAATCATGTTTGGAAGGCGTTGTAGTATGTTTATTAATGATTCAATAGTTCGTTTAGTCTCAGTAAGACATTCAATAGTTCGTCGAAGAAACCACAAGTTAAGCTGTAAACAAACAAAATTAAAAGACATATCCTAGTCATGTGATTCACTAAGATTTGAACTCGCTATGAAGCCCTAAGAAACTTACAAGTTTTTAAGGCATGTTATGAAGTGAACATGTGCATAGTACTCGATAGAACATAATAAGTGAAGACGGTAACAGATAGAAGTTACTAAAAGGTATAATAACGAAACATGTTAAAAACGAGCTTTTGAACTCTGAGACTACATGTAGGCCAGTAAAAAAACAAATTCACTGAACATACCTATAAGATTCATGTAGGGATCATGACTTTCCTCCCAAGAAATCACACAAGTTCCTGCAGTCTGCATAGACTCATGGAAATAAGTAGTAGGATGACTGCTCATCTATTTCTGTATTGAAGAATATTCTTCTGTAAGGATTGAACTTATAAGGTATATTCAACAGATTATCTATGAACCCAAAAAATTTTGAGTTGCTTCAAGATTCCGAAGCGAAATTCAATCTGTCGTTTTTTGTGAGGAAGGTGATTGGCTTTCTGTCTAGGCAACTGATGAGTTAAAGTAATTCATAAATACCAATTATACCGACAGAAAATGTAAGTTATGTCTGATAGGTAGTGCATGTTGAGTACACTTCATAGTCAACCTGGTTACAAGCAAAATAGCCAAATCAACCAATGTAAATTAAAAGAAATGCTTCATAAGCCAAATAATGCAGAAATTAGTAAAAACCATGCTAAAGCAATAATTTTCAGCCACTCCACATCTAAGCTAAATAAAACTTTGTCAACATAGTGTTTTAAAGATATAAATTTATAAGAAAATACAAACCTCCCAATTCGTTGTTTGACCATTTAAGTCCATGTTAGACTGAATATGATAGGTGTGACTATTATCCTCATCCCGATCAAAATACATTTCTTCGATTTGTGGAAAACCTAGTATTGAACGTATCACATAAATAATTTTTTGTGCAATCATCTTGGTTGATCCAGTCCTTGTCATACAATCAGAAGCATCAATAGAAAGTAGACCACCCCATTGAGGTACAAGTGCATAGTCGGTTATTACTACAGATGAATATGATGATATATGAAATCTTAAAGGTAAGGGACAGTCAACTCCATGTGAATTATTTCTTTTAAAAGTATTTAATAACAAAAAAAGATGTAGACCTGGATTAGAACGAGCCACATCGAGATTATCTGCATACGCTGTTTGAGGAGGTCCCAAAAATGATTCTAAATAATTAATCAGATTGGATATATCACCTTGAGAATAAAATGTATAGTTTCCGGTTTTTGACAATTGACTAGAAAGAGAATTAAGTAAAATATAATTTAAACAGACAGAGTAAAAGTTATCGTTCTAATTCAAATTGCTTTTTTTGATGAGATTAAGTAAGCCTTACAAAACAAAGAAATCAGTTCGAAACAAATCATATTTATGGCAGATATCTCATAAAGATATAAGCTACTAAGTTAAAATATAATTTTCAGTTGAAAAAATAACAATCTCCTAGTTTTGAATTGTTTCCGCTAAAGTTGGCGAGGATTATTCGAGTACATAATCCTCTAGAAATCTTATTTGTATCATTAAGCTGTTCTACTTCCCATTACTACCAAAGCCTTAATTTCACTAGTCCAATACAATACATTGGAGTGTGCATGCACTGTGCTCTCTTTATCTAGTTCTGATTCGGTAGTTGTGACTAGAGTACGTACTGGTTACAAATGAGAATTTACTAACTGCTATATTGAAATAAATGAGACCCATTCTACCATTTTCGAAATGAATGTGCATTTTGATGTATAAATAACAAAATGTGATTTATCACGGCTTAATTCTCCTGCAAACCATTTTGACAGAATGCTTGTATACACGCTTTATAGCTATCAAGATAACTTTGGATAGGATGTGAATTTTCTGACTGTGAAAGTGACATCACACTGAAGTTCTCTAATGACTTCGGAACTGTTTGATTCATCATATCATTGATTAGGATTTCTATCTCTCATATGTGAACTGTGAAAATGTCCAATATCTGAAATGATACCAAAAATATGATTCAAGTTTAAGTCATTCAGAAAATGATTCTCACAGACTAGATCATATGATACAGAGTTCTGACCAACAATTGAAGACCAGATTACCTGAGCCAAGGTAACCATCTGTTAAGTGTGAAATCTAGAGCACATTACAGTGAAGTTAGTCTTTTACGTATCATAACAGTCTTAATGCTAGATACTTATCTGCTTCGCTCAGAAACCTAATTACAGATCGCTTTGCCGTAAAACATCAGTTTTGTGTAGAAATGAGCACCAAAACTGTGCGATACATGAGGAGTTATTACCTGAGCTCTTAAAGAGAAACAAGCGGTTTACTTAGAGAAATATACACCAAGTCTTTTACTTAAGTACATAATCCATAATGCATTGAGATATCATCAGAACAGGGAATTCCACAGTAGGTTTGCACACTATTCGTTCGCTTCGGATCTAGAAGCCATTATGTACCACTGCTTTGGAATCACAAATTTTAACCTCCATAGTCTAGACATCTGTATCTACCAACCGAATTTTAGCGTCTGATTTCTATTTCCAACCTTTCATTTTGTAGGAAAACCACACCACACCAAGACAAGGGGGTGCGGATCCCCTGTAGAAGGCTATAAAAATATGACTGCATAGTAGCAATTCGAGAGGGACTTCTCTACGTATGGCCACATTTAATTATCGCTCTTCTCACTATTTGGAATATCAATATTCAGCTGTTTTTGGTTGTTGATGTATTCCAGTTAATTAATAAAACCGTGTTAAATGTCCAGGGTACTCAACAAAAAGATAGTGTGAACATATAGAAGTTGTAAAGCAAAACAGAGGATTACCAGTTGTCGTCCACAGGAAAACTTAGTGTTCAGCTTCAGTCTTTGCCTACTAACTATTCAAATCCAGCATCGGTCAATATTTTGCCGAATTCCCATCCACCTTTACTTAATGCATGTCATATTATTGAAATGAAACAATGCAAAGCGGTATTTATGTGTCAGTAATGACAACTATATTGTAAACTAAGCTTAATTACAAGCATTCCACATAACCTGATAAATCAGCAAGTTATAACGAGGATTAGACTACAAAAGCCGAAAAATTTATTGTCGCCCATGACATATAGCTGTTGAGATTGGCAGAATGAAACAATGTTTATTAAAACTTATCACAGTAAATAAGACTTAAATATTCCACAAGTGTTCAAACGTAATAATCGGTATTTCAACTGAAGTCATATTTATAAATCAGCGATATGTCTGTCGAACTCGAAAAATTGGTGCTTGCAGTTCTATGAATATATATTCCCCAAAATGACAGATACATACCAAGCAGTTACATAATTCTGATACCATAATGGAAAATACATCTAGGTAGTCCGAGCACACCTAGCTGTTAGACTGTAAAGATATATCCGGAGTGAACACCACGAAATTTCCTGATGCTTCGTGACTCAGTCAATCAAAACAAACGAGTTTGACCAAGTTGATGTCGTTTCACTCAGGTCAAGGTAATTTATGTAAGACATACTTATATATTTGTGTCTGTTAATGGATGAAAAACTTGATACATGTAATAAGAAAGGATAGAATTGAATTTGTATGTATGGTAATAGTGTGAGATGTGAATAGAATCAGATATGGCAGCTCAATAGATGGTCGTCCAAGGCCTTTTATTCTATTGAGGCCTATAGGATTCAGCAATATATGGAAAGCTTCAGCCACTGGCAATTCTTCGCAGCTGGAAAAGCTTTTTTCTATTATTTTGATATTCTTAACATCGACGTGATGGTTATTGAAGATATTATGCACTCCTATAACCGATTCAATTCGGATTCTTTCAGGTTCTACAGGATCATTAGGTGGCTTTTTGTGTACCTAAGATGGCTTGAATCAAGATTACACGAGATGACTCTCCGATACAGAAGGTACCACTATCGACATAATCTTATTTGTAAACGCAATTCTGTGTTGACTTAAAGTGAATCCTATCCTTTATATGAACTGAAGCAGTTTGAAGAATGGTGGTTGTTTTGTAGTATGCTATGATTCTGTATTGTTTTAAGACTCTTTGGAGTTCTTCTGTTGTACCGTGGCGGTATGGTAAAATACAGTATCAATCCATGGTGCTTCTTTCAAACTATTGTTTAGCAGTAAATAATCTCGTTTTAATGTATTTTTATAATAATTTTCATAGGAAAATTATTGAATTGTAAGGTGTTAATTATGTGCTTTTGTTTATCCATTTCAGATGTAATGTTGTTTGCTTTTCTAAAAAGATTTATGGTCAGAAAGATTTTTGAACTGAATCAAAGTGCCGAATTGAAGTTAATATGACGATCCGACAGTGTTATTTTTCTGTAGATGGTTAGATTTAGAGCTTCAATTCACTTCCTTTTAATTAAGTAGTGTGAAAATGAGAGCTGACTGTGTTTATTTTCATTCTTGCAAGTAAAATAATTATGGGATGAGAGTGTATTGATCAGTTTAGTAAAAGTATGTAAGAGAGTCTTTTTCATGAAGAAAAAAGTGACATGATATTGACTTGGCTAAACCTATTTTTTGACTGATCGTACTATATATCTGTTTTATTTATTTGTACTATTTAAACTTGGGTTAGTTTAATTTGTTTATTTATTCTCCGATGAATTCATGAAACGTCATTGGTATGTTAAAAATACATTATTTTTATTAGCAACAATCTAACCAACATTCAATTTATTTGAAGTCAAACCTTGGTAACGATACCTAAAAATTATCTATTATACGGGATTTCATTGGTAGATAGTCTATTTTTGATAAAGTGGTCCAACATATAATGATACTTACCTTTTTTTCAACAGTTCAGCACTAACTCCATAAAGTCTCTGTGAATAGAAATCGACTTGAACAAAAGGCGACCAATTTTTAAAAGCTGATCCTACGTGTGCTTTTAACCATGGTATAGGATTTATCAACATTTCATTAGTCCAAACCGATATTTCATTAGATTCTTCTACTAATTGTGAAACAGAATCATCGAGTGTAAGCACTGTAACAGTTACATCGTACATACTAGATACAGACAATGGTTTATCTATAATTTTCGAGATTTGATTGTACTGACCAGGAGACAAATTTGCAGGATTATCGTATTTTCGTACAAGTTTCTAAATGGGATTTCGAAAGCAGATATTTCAATAACAGCCCATTTGCAGACGAGAAAGTAGTTTATTAAATTTAATGTACAGGAACAACTAAATAAAACTTTTACATAACCGCGACTACATAACAACGTTCGCAAATGACATAAACTATTTGTTTCAGGAAGCCAGTAGGTCCTGGGTTCGAATCCTGCGGGGTGCGGAATCGTGGATGCCCACTGCTGAGGAGTCCCATACTAGGACGAAACGGCCATCCAGTGCTTCCAGGTTTCCAACGGTGGTCTAACATCAATTAATTCATGATCTCAACCAAAAACTTAACAATCTCCACAACCCCCATACTGAAAACAAAAGAATTAGGCTTAAAATATACTATATCTTATAAAAAGTTAAACAGATATAATCCCAAGTCAAACACATTAAAACTGCGTCAAAGCGAACACTTATTGCTTTAAACATTCATAAGAAAGATGTAAATAATCGTTAAAATTTACAGTTTCCTTTTTACATAAATTTCGAACTGGAGAATTAAAATAACTCTAATAAAATCTTATGATATAAAGAAAATACGAATCTTTTGGGATTTATAGGAGTAAATCATACAAGTGAATAAAACTCACCATAACAGTATATATAGCATTTAAGTACAGGTAAATATGTTTATATATTGGCTTGTATAATATGATAAGAGGTGAAAATGATGAATACATTTAACCAAAAATGTTTCAAACAGTCAACAAATTTTTATAGTCATACATGGCTGGAAGTTAGATGAGCTTATATATGGTTGAAAGTAACTAGGTATATCATGCAAACTACTTGTGAGTAAAATCAGATATAACATTAGTATATATACTGAAACATTTATTCCCCTCAGTTAAAAAGACCAAAAGCTAGAAATAAATTATATAATTTGATACGAAAATTTGAGTAGTAGTGGTGATTGTCACATAAATATATAGGCTATTTAATTAAACCTAACAATCTCTTAAATGATATTTACAAATAAGTAAACCATAAGAAAACTCATTAGAATTTCAAATTCATGTATAACGAGGCGAAACAATGTAAGAGACTTAGCTTCTATGTATGCGAATGAATATAATAATACAAAACTAAATCTGTAATTTATACGAAACATTCTACAAAAATAACCTGACCGAGTTACGTATTCAATCGCGATTTCTTATTGACGATATCAATAGGAAACACGGAACTGAACGGGTGGGAGATTAAATTTTTCAGCTGTGGTAACAACTACCACGAGCACAAGAGATAATTTCATAAGCCACTATTAAGTCTTATGAAACAAAATTACATGTGAATTTTGTGCTGATGATTTCGTTCAGAAGAAAGATGAAAGCTCCACGACCAAACCATCCAGCTCAGAGAACAAAACTCCACCAAAATCATCCACCTGAGCTACAAATCTTCTCCACCACCTTACATTGTGCAGTTTCCATCATAAACTGACCTTAAATAGGCAACCATTCCATATCAGGAAGCAATGTATAATCGATTTACCCTAGAATCAAATTCCTAAGCAATGCATAATCACAACTTCATCGGGAATCGAACCTACGATTCTTAGGTCTTGTGGCCACGACCCCAAATGCCTTGGTATGGCCTAGAGTGGGATGAGCCCGCCCTCCCCCTAGAAATGCTCTCACACGGCCACGCGTATATAGCCTCTGCCAGGGAAGTCCTACTTACTGCCTTCTCGTGGCGGGGGAGTTGTTTACGAAACGAGAGGAGAAAAGCGAATGTCCGGCGCTTTAACCTGATCCCAAACCAAATCAATGGTGCACATGGGCTCCAGTATCCTGCGGGAACAAATGGCGTATGAAACCAATCGTAGGTCACTGGCTACCATGGGACTGCATCTCCTCACGACGTTCCACTGCCTTGTGGGTTAGACCTTTAGGTCAAAGGCTCGGGGTGTGGCCCCCTAAGGAAACCACCCGCTTCGGTTTGCGCACTCATGTAGTATCTCAGCCCGCACACAAAAACATGACAAACTATCTTGGACGATGGGCAGAGTTCTTCGAAAAGCAGACCAACTGGTCTGCTGCTCCGACAACATCGGTCAGACTGTCCTGCCCTCCATGGCCGGTGACGACTGATCCACCAAATGAGGCGGAAGTCTGCAAGGAACTTCGACTCTTTAAACGCTACAAATCACCTGGCCCAGATGACTTACCTCCGGCTCTTTTTAAAGATGGTGGTGACTTTCTGGCTAAGGAACTGACGACGTTGTTTACAAAGGTGTGGGAGCTAGAGAGTGTACCAACGTCATGGAATGAGTCGATAGTTGTCCCTATCTTTAAAAACGGTTCACGTCGTTCCTGTAACAACTATCAGGGGATAAGTCTACTTCCGATTGCGTCCAAGCTATTGGCATCCGTCATACTTCGTAGGTTGTTCAAAACCCGAGAAAGATTGACTTACGGGGATCAGGTTGGTTTTCGTTCTGGTCGAGGATGTATTGATCATATCTTCACCCTCCGCCAAATGTTAGAACACCGCCATACTCATCAAAGGCCAACAATCGTAGTGTTTCTTGACTTCAAGGCTGCCTTCTATTCGTTGGATAGGACTGTTCTCTGGGATTGTCTATTGAAGAAGGGTGTGCCTGAGAAGTTTATTAACATTCTAAAGGCCCTATATACAAACACCTCAAGCAGAGTGAGGGCATACAACCACCTCTCTCCATTGTTCTATTCGAGCAGTGGGGTTAGACAGGGTTGCCTAATCTCACCATTCCTCTTCAACTTTGCCATCGATGACATTCTGGAAACAGCTCTGATGAATGTAAGTAATGGTGGTGTAAATCTGTTGCCTGGAGAAAGACTTCTCGACCTTGAGTATACGGACGATATTGTCTTACTGAGCGATAATGCCCAAGCCAAGCAATCCGCACTTAATCACTTGGTAATCAGTGTCCGTAGGTATGGTATGCGCTTTGCACCTTCGAAGTGCAAAGTACTTCTACAAGACTGGCAGGATTCTAATCCTGTACTCACTCTGGATGGTGTGCAGATAGAAGTAGTCGAGAAGTTCGTGTATCTGGGTAGCTGTATAAGTGCGGGTGGGGGTGTGAGTGATGAGATCGATGCACGTATAGTGAAAGCTAGAGCGGCTTAAGCCAATCTGGGCCATCTTTGGCGCCCTCGTGATGTTAGTCTGGCTGTAAAAGGTCGGATCTACAACGCATCGGTGAGAGCTGTTTTGCTCTATGCTTGTGAAACCTGGCCTCTCCGAGTTGAGGACGTTAGACGACTCTCTGTGTTCGATCATCGTTGTCTCCGAAGGATTGCTGACATCCAGTGGCAACACCATGTTAGTAATACAGAGGTTCGGCATCGTGTGTTCGGGTACAGAGACGATAATTCAATTGGTGTCACTATCTTGAAACATCGACTTCGGTGGCTTGGACATGTTCTACGAATGTTGTCCCAGAGAATCGTACATCGTACATTATTTGCCGACTCTGGGACTGGTTGGAAAAAGCGGAGAGGTGGTCAGTGTATGACATGGTGTCGTAGTATGAAAGAAAGCTGCAAAGGGCTGGCTTGTGTTGGTCCCTCACGAATCCCTGGCTCGGGTCCTAGAGATGGTGCAACACAGTGGCCAGAGAAGTTATCAGATATGGCTCAGAATAGAAGCCAGTGGCGATCCTGCTGTGAACTTCTTTTACTTTCTTTATAAAAAGTGGTTGTATCTTCCTTAACTGAAAGATTTCTCCTGATTGTACCTTTCCGTTCCTCCCATTACTATTATTACACTTCCTTACACTAATCTGGTCGTTATTGTTCTTTTTTTACGCTCCTTACCGTCTTTTTTCTCTTACCATTTTCATTGTTTTGTGTGGTGCATATATATTTGGTGCCCTCTTGTACCAATATTTATGTGTTCAAATAAATAAATAAATAATGCGACCACCGTTTAACCTTTGAACCACCGAACCAGCATCCAACGACTTATGTGTAAATTTCATCAACTCGTAGTATTTCCCAACTATCTTCCAATGTCATTTGTAGGTAATTGCTGCATATACAACATAGTTGAAATCAACCACAACAGAACTACAGGGGATTATCGCACAAAACTGGTCACTAGTGAACATACGATTATTATTTAGTACTGGGGTCAGTCTGTAATTTAAACCATAAAATTCAAAAATTTTCATAATTTTTACATTATTTAAGTCTAAAATTACTATTGCAAATGTATGAGAGAGTAATTTCACTTACCATAAGATGATTGGTTTGTATCAAAACATTATCTAATAAATATTTTATATGTAATGCTAATACCTCTGGAAGTTGACTATTTTCACTTGACATAATTGTCGGTGGAATAAAAATGTAGATTAAATTCAAATGTAATAAATTTCTAATAATTGAAAATGGTTTCATTGATGTAGTAGATTTGTTAAAATTCATCCCCTCTAACCATAAATTATCAATATTGACCATTGGTAATAATAGAAAATGATAAACAGATGAACTGCTGTTTCTTCTTTGTTCAATAAGATGATCGCTGTCAACGACAAAATGGTAAACTATTGTAATAATTAAATTAAAATGAAAATATACATACATAACATCAATGCACTGAAAAGTCGGTTTACAAGATGGTGGATACACGTACCATAATCAAATAAATAAAACTATTAATTCAGATCAATCGATTGTAAAAGTAATCATAATATGTGAAAAACCATCCCTATACTAAATAAATATCTAATTAGTTGAGAGCGTGATAAAACTAACTAATCAATTCTATTTTTATTGATCGAATAAAATACTGAACTTTTATGATAAACAGAAATCACAGAAATATTCCATACGGTTATTGTTACACTATCACCAGAGAAAAAAAAGTTTCAGATTCCAAAATATTCGCATAATCATCTTATGCATTGAAGGCGGAGAAAAAACATATTGACATAAATGCCATTTATCAAATTCAATAAATATTTAAATGTTATAAAGAAATGAAAACATTTTTATCAATGTAAGTATGCGTGTAGCTTCATCTGTAGTTAGGTATCATTACCAAGGTTTGACTTGATAATTTCGAATAAATTGAGCATCTAAGATCCTTTTCAAAACAGATCAATACACTTTAATCGCACATCAAATTTACTAACGAGAATAAAAGTGAACATGGTGAGCTACCATTTTAGATTGCTTAGTGAAAAGAAATCTAAATGGAATTTTAAATCTATCCATCTACCGAAAACCTACACACTCTAATCGTTATATTGATTTTAATTCAGCACACCCATTCAGTGCAAAGATCTCGCTAGCCCTAAATCTTTTTACAAGAGCTAACAAGATTATCACATCGGAAGAAGATGAACAAAAGGAACTAAAGAATGTAATTAGCATCTTCCAATTTAATAAATTTTTTATGAAGATTATTAGAAGTATATTAAAACAAGACGTTTCATTGCGTAATAATAGTAATTCGAATGAAATACCATGGATTGGTACTGCAGTTTGACTATACTGTCATGGCACAACAGAAGAACTTCAAACAATCTTAAAACAACACAGAATTAAAGTATATTACAAAACAACGAAGACACTTCAAAATACTTTAGTTCACTTAAAAGAAAAAATTCCCCTTCATGTCAATGCAGAACTGTGTATATAAATTTGGATTTGTCGATTGTGATACCTTCTATATTGGGAAGATATCTCGCGAAATCTTGACTCGAGCCAAAGAACATATTAGGTACACAAAGAAACCTGATAATCCCATAGAACTGGATAAACTCCAAATTATATTGGCAAAATCAGTCCACGCAATTTTCATCGACCACCAAATCGATTTCAAAAATATCAAAATACCACAAAAAGGTTTTTTCAATTACAAGGAAAGGAGAGTAGCTGAAGCTTTCTATATAATACTTAATCTTACTGCTCTCAATAGAAAAGAATGCCTTACTATACGTCATACTTGGACGACCTATTCTAGCCACCTAGTCTGATATTATTCACAATTTACACTATTACCTTACAAATTAAACTCTATCCTTTCTCACCATAGAGGTCACACATTTTTCATCCTTAACAGTGCAAACATACACATACACAAATTTACATACATGTCGCTTATGAATCACATTGACCGAAACGACATAACATTGATTTCTTCAGCCCTGTCGTTTGATTGATCACATAATATTCTTGTTGTTCGATTTATACTATTTAAACTTGGATTAATTTTGATTTGGTTATTTATTCTCTGAAGAAGTGGCTCACACCAAGTCACCAAACGTCAGAAATTTATTTTTTCTACTCACTGGGATATTACAAATATATTAATTTATTCGTCTGTACCTCTTCAAAGGTTAGTGCCGATCCAAAGTCGGTGGGAATAAAATAGGTAAGCGGAAAACACCAACTGCGATATACCAAATAAAAGGTATTTTAGCGAAGATATCTTTTATAGGAAAATTTTGTTCGAATGCCGAAGCGTTATTAGCTACCAATCCATGCTACTGGTACGAATTAATATAACGACCATGGACAAATTACTTAAATATTTCAAGACCTATTTTTATGTTAGACAAAACTCTTATGGAGTGTGGAGTAATGTTTCCTAAAATTGTTGATATTGTCGCTCACCATGTTTACAAAATTATGAATGGTCTCACTCTATTGTAACAGTAAGTTGAGTGGATAAGGAAACAATTCTACTGAAATTGAAGGAATAAAGCATTGAGTATGCATGGATAAAAATGGACAAAGTGATCAATCCTCACAAGTTACTCTAAACCATTAAATGTGATAAGCTTACGACAAAAACTGGAACAATAATATAAGTGATCAAAGAAACACTGGGCTATGAAATCAAAATAGGATGATAACTTATAGTTAGCTTACAATGTCCTCATTTTCAGTGATGACTGGTAGTAATTAGATCCAGAGCCGAGACTGTTACTAACTCTGGTTTATATTAGTTAAACTATATGAAATTTCAATGTTAATTTCTGGTAATATACACTGATGTCTGGTAAAAGTGAGACTGAAAAGTCATACGTTAAGTCACCATTTCACTATTAATAGACAAGATTAAACGATTCTTTAAGAAAAAAAATCAAAGTAACATATATGCAGCAAAAATTTCACAAAAACTGACAAAGTTATATTAAATAAAGCTAATACTGTTCTGCCACAGATATATTATCATAGTGTTTTGTTATTGTACGGCATATATGTGGAGCAGGAATGAGATACAAAATTTATTCAGGAGTGGGGTTCAACAATTACTATCACCTTTAAAATGATGGCAAAATGTTCACTTTATTAAAATATTGTGATCTAAACTGGTATGTTTAACCACACCAAGAAAACATTAATTCTCTTGCTTAAAAAATGATGTTTGTTTATTCGTTGAATCAATCAACAAACCCTATTTATGTCAATAACTCTTGAGCTCTAATTCTATAATCAATATTTGAATTGTATACAGTATTCCACTATGAATAAGCGATTCAATATAAAATTGTATATTTAGAAATTATTTAATAGCTTCTAGGTTAATTAATTCATTAAGCGTTTTTATCCGAAAAACTACAAACTTTTAAATAAAACAAAACATAAATATATCAATCTTGTCCTGAAAAGTATGATGAATTTAAACGCTACTACTGATATTAACTAGTAGTAGGCTGTATTTCTTACAGATATGTCAGCAGTGAACAGTTATCACCAATGGTATCAAATGATTGGAAGCTGACCTAACAGTTTAATGACTAGGAGTTAGCCACGAGACCCGCAGTTCCCGAGTCCAATCACGGTTAGAGTTGTGAGTGCGCAATACTGAAAGGCGTCATACAATGATTAGACACCCATCCACTGATCTTTAGTTTTCAAAAGTATACTGAAATCAATTTGTGACGAATATAACCCACAAATTAAGCTAACCTCCGTAAAATCACTTCAATTTAACTTCCAGAACGATAACAATTCAATGGCGTCATTAAGATCGCTTTGATTTAATTGTACATCACCATCAGAACGGAATGATGTTTGTCAATAGATTTACCCACTATACTATCTATCAGACTGTAAATCTACGACAGTCCGTAAGAATAATGTCAGATTTTCTGTTAAATTGTTTTATTGATGGATGCTGAAACCGTTTTTCTATTTAGGCTTTATCAACTAAGTTCCTTAATTTAATTTTCAAAAACGATGGAAGGACTTTTGTGGAGATTGATCTCAGTTGAGGTACCACTGAAAATTAGGAGGCACAAGATAACTGAATGAGAGGAAGAGGAAATAGCTAGGAAGAAACTACGAGGAAATGGCTGTTCACTGCGCTCCCGTTTCCAAGGGTACGTCAACTGAAATCGTTAAGCAACGGATACAACCTACAAATTTTCAAACTATTCAAATATTACTTTACTTTTCAAAGCTCTTCGGAGTGTCTTTTATATCGAAAGCATTCAATAAGCTTAAATTTTTTTCAAATGTTAACCAAAAGCTAAGAATATCATTTGAAAGCGACTTTGTATATGTTCGGATTTCTAAATGATTCATCATTTGTCTGGTATTTACATGATAATTCATTAAAATTTCATCAGAGCCATCTGTCACCGTAAATGCTTGCTGCTCCAAATTAAAACGGGTAAATATTTCACTGATTTGGTGTAGACTTCGATCATCAAGTTCAGCATGAAAATTGAGCACATTGATCTGATGAGAGGTAAGAAAATAGAAGTAAACAAACAATAACCTATTTAAAACAGCTTGTAACAATGAAGTTTATCATATTTTTAACTGCCTCTGAATCATTTGGCATATTCCATGTGGCGACAACATATTATTATTATTCTTAATGCTAATATACACATATGTAAAACCTTGATCGGGACCAAGCAAATGAACAAAAGCACCATACGGTAAATGACCTAACTACATAGTAATGATACTTTCAAGGAATAATCAGTTAACCATAAAAACAAAAGTTTCAATAACGATCCTTATGTTTTTGCTTTATCGATACGATGAATAGGTGTTGAAGTACAAACGCCGCATGTATTCAGTTTTTGTTTAACGAACAGTTGTTAATATAATTATCAATCTCACTCTCCACCTCATCCGTCCGTCGAACTAAAATAACTTTTGAAATTGTCTTTTCCTCGGTAAACCATGTTTAAGTGCAACCACATCAATGGTAGGAGTTTTATTATCGTTAATTTTTACATTCCTTCAGTTTGTTTCCACCAACTGGTAACTACTTCTTATTCATCTAGCTGCACAATTAAAACATACAGTTTGTTCATGTAGATTGATTACAACTGGCTGCTTTCATTGGGATATCTTAAATAATAAAATTTAGCCTTGGGTCAACATTTTAGTGCATCAAATAGAAAACCTTATCTGAAACAACTATCAGTGAGTAATTACAACACAATCACGAATTAATCGATGTAAACTAATGGGTTCTGCGCTTACCTGTACAAGCGAGAGTTCACGATACTAGGTAAATTGTCAAATAGACAAAACTGTTACTACTACCTTGACGTGGTGTTTGGGATTTGATAATTAAATAACTCAATAAAACTAAACTAGCTGAAACCATACCAGATAGGTTGATTGGAGTTTGAAAACTGAAAGCAGTAAACTTAAGGTCTAGAAGTGAAGTTGTACTCCCGTGTGCATAGATCTGTAACTACAGTGTGGTGTTTTCCAGATAAAACCAGCACCTGCAGCGATGATATCTCCTCATAACGGAAGGAGCGTGTTAGAAAAAATCCCCTCTACAAATAACACAACATACCGTGCTACACCGATTTCCGTCGTCAGCGACAAGTTTTGAAAATTACGGAGTTAACAAATAAAGACCTACTAGCAAGAGGCGTGTGCGACTGACCATAATTAAAGATTATCCAGTGTTACCAACACCACCCTCCTAATCCAGTTTATTTTTCACATAACTCCAGACGTATCCATTTTAGCGTGGGTAACTTCGAAGTCAAGATCACTTATATCTCTATTTGAACATAATAACACCATTTTAATCACGACCAAATCCCACCTATCTATTTCCGAGACCCATCATCTGTCATCTGTCTTTGACTTCTCCCATATGTGCCACCAGTGCTCATGATCCGAGTTTATGGAATACTGTCCGAGGTATCTTGAAACTAAATCGAAGTGAAATGAGTATTGAATACCTGGGCTTTAATGGTCAAAAATTAACTCCTCCAACCACTTCTTATATAATTACCAATGCGGAGTAGGTAGTCCATCACCTGGAGTATTCGTCTTTCAACCAACGTGTCGTATGCTACAATTCTCATCCCCGTTTCTTCAACCGGGTATTATATATATATATATATATATATATATATATATATATATATATATATATATATATATATATATATATATATATATATCATGCCCTCCATACAACTACTGCAACCACAAAGTCAAGTACGCACATCTATACTTTGTAAATAAATTGGACGGAAATTAAACTTTTCAGAGTCCCATTTATCTTAAATAAATAAATAATCACTAAACAATGTTATTCCATTTTAAACACATCAACAAGTTACAAAAAACCATTATAAACGCATCGGACTCAATTCACCAAATGAAATTTCGCTCAACACATACTTACTGGTACAGTTATCTCAATTTTACGCGAGCTTAATATTTGAATCTCATTATAAGGCAATGAAGCGTGATATGGTGTAGTAGTTTTCCACCATAAAGGTACTCCAATCAGAATTGTAATCAGCAAATAGAATATTGAGTTGACGATAGTCTTGCATTTTTCTTCAGGCGTTGCTTGATATGTTTGTAATTCTGGATAGTTGTCAAGAGATGTTTTGAACTGAGATGATGACTTGTATGAATTATGCATCATCATTGTAATTAACAATCCTGTAAAATATGAAGCACACAGAATATTGAGATGAAGAAAAGTGTGATGAACACAGCTAGATATAGACTTGTGTGCACTAGACTAGATTTACAAATTCCCCATTAGGTATGAAAGTTAATTGCACTACTCCCACTAATAGTGTTCGTGCGTTTACATAGATTATTAGTTAAGCATTCACCTTCCCGATAAGTAGATCAGAATTTTGAACTTTGATCCACTCATAATTTAGAAAGTCACATATTTGTAAAGTCTCAATCAGTAGAAAATCGAAACTCCCGAGTTGCTACCCACAGAGAATATACAAACAACCATATCTTACATGGTTGCAATTATATCCTACTGCAGAGTAAGGTAAAACTATTGTAACAGCCTATGATATTTCATTACTTCTTTTTAAACAAATCACCCCGTTTTAAAAAGTATTCATAAGAAAGTTACTGAGCGCCAAGATCGTCATTGTATTCGCCTTCTGATTTAAAAGTTTTGGTAATTCTTCTGAATGAATTTAAAGCGCTGAAAATTCCTCCACTAAATAATATGTGCTATCGAACTCGACATACTGATTAGAACGTGTCGGTTTACGGCAAATGACTACATCCAGAATTCCATTTAAACTTCCTTTGAGTAAGCAGTCTAACAATGACACCTCAGTGAGTTCGTTTTCATTTCCGAAAGTGGATAAAAATGTGAATCTATATGGAACATGAATAAGTAAGCAACAATCAGGAACATAGGCGGGACTCACGTCCACTTTGTTTTCATCTATAGTCCTTCTTTGAATGTAAATAAGATCGAATTGAAGCACAGTTTAAGGAATAAACTGATGTTTGAACGATTCTAGATAGCCAACAACGAAATAACCAGAACCTTTATTAATAACGTTGTAAACACCATATCCATCAAACAAATCAATGTCTACCCGGATTCAGTAGCTCAGTGAATAACGCTCTCATGTTTGAAGTGAAAAGGTACAGGAGATTGAGTCTTAATGTGAATATCAACACTGAAACGCAGACACATTCAACCGATGAGTCTGAAACGGGAAGAAAGTCTGTCGTATCCTCTTGTTAGTCACAGCTCATCTATTGTGCGAAATCTCACTAGATCTCATAACATAGAAACTAATGAAGACAAAACAATCGTGAGTATTCAAATTCCTAAAATCAGATTAAGATGAAAATCTTTTCTCACGGTAAGAATCAAAATAAGGTTTTATCGGGAATCAATGTCAGCTACAGAAAATTAATCAAAACCATGATGGAAATCTGCTCGTTTCCACAAACATTAAGTAATGACAAACAGTCATTTGGTCATTCATTTATAAGTAGTTTCGATATGAATTCTGTGAAATTCTAGAGAGGTGCTATGATGTGTGAAATTAATCCAATCCGGTGGGAAACACTTACTCACGGAATTGACTTTAGTAATAAATTTGGACCACTGAATATTGTATTCGCACAGATACCAGGTGATTAAGTATTGAGGACTGGTCAGAAGTATTAACCAGAAACGAGTTTATATGTGGTTCCTGATTTTCATAGTACTTTAACTGAAATCAGTTCCTGGTGAATAATAATGTTGGGAAACTATCCACTAATGTGATACCCTTATACAACTATCCTATACATTTGTTGAATAGATATATTCATAGAGATATGGTTGAATGATTTCGTCAATCAAATTTCAACCATTAAGCCACAAATCGGAATAAATCTTTATTTAACTAGGTTTGGAAAGTCAAGTATTTTCTTCTACCTGCAAACAAAACGTGTAGTTCAAAGCTTGATAAATCAGTGTTTAGTTAACGAATTGGATTAACAGTTTGTTAATTTTTGGTGAAATAATAAACAACAATCACAACATATAACACTAATAGAGGAAAGAAATTAGAGGATAAATGTAATATATTTATTTGTTTATAGAATAAAATAGTTTTGTCCATAAAAATCAAACATCATAAATGATCTTCTCTTGGATCGAAAGACAACTTTTCCATAAGTTCTGTAAATCTAGAAATATCATCATTATTATCAATTTCATTATTCTTTTCCAAAGATTGAAATTTTGAAGTATTTGATTGATTTAAGCGACTGAATCGGCAAACTTCGGAATAAGCAGGATCTACAGGAACTTGTACTGGTGGCTTGACTATATGATCAGGGTCTAACGTATACGTGACATCTGGGTCAAAACCTCTTAAATCTCCACACGCCATGAATGGTAATAGAGCTTGTTGAGAAGAATCAACCTAACAAATAAACAAACAAAAATGTCCCAAAATCACTATAGCTTAACTCTATATTCGATTTGTGAATGAGAGTATCAACCAAAATAATAAGGTCATCTTATTCTTGTGACTAATTATTTACTTAATCATTCAATAGGAAAATTAATGCAACATGAAGATAAACGTTTAGATTTACAGGCTGAAAGAATGACGTTTAAATAATGTTTTGCTATTTGACTTGTAACGAATTATTTGGAGCTCAGCATTCTTACAGCAGTCATAGATAATGAAGTATTTTCATACATTTCTATACATCGGTCCTCAAAATCTCATACTTGAAAACAGGAATGACCAATGGTTGACCACAACCACTACTCAACTTCAAAAATATGATTGTAAAGAAATACACATAGCTATAGACAGAACATGAGAACGGAATATTCTCTTGGCATTTTGCATAACAAACTGAGTATTGAAGGCATAACATATTAACATACGTCTTCAAAGTTATCCTTGTCGTACCATAATAATAGCAAATTATCGTTGCTTGAATGATTCTCAAAAGATGTGGATGGTTTCAAATCTGTCCGTAAACGAGGACCCATAAATCCACGACATACAACAAAGGACTCTAAACTAGAGTTCCGACTAGCTCTTGGTTTTGCAAAACTAACTTCACCCGAAAACAAAAGTCGGAGTTGGGAACCTAGTAAACCAGAATCTCGTCCACGAAAAACCTTAGCAACAAATGTACCACCAAGCTCCAGAACTCTTGAACAGATAGTTATAGCAGCTAAGATAAGATGCGACTGAACATATTCATCCAAATCATGTAGACCTGTCACTACAAAAATAATAAGAAAAATGTTAGCAAGATCATTAATACGTGGAGTAAGGATTTTAAGATAAAAGTACACTACTCAATAAAAATTGGCAGTAGAACACAAAGAGTCAAAAAAAATAAGCCTAATACAAAGTGGCATATATTTATACCAAAAGTTTAAACGGACAGAAGTCAAAACTTACACATAATCAATTTACAAATAGAAAATTATTAACTTGAAAAGCTCAAACTCACTTACCATCTGGAGCACCATCACAAACAACAAGTTGAGCTAACTTGCCGTCAAAATGTCTTATAATCTGTTGAGCCGTATCCTGACTAGTAATATCGCCTTGAATTTGAATAACTCCTGGTATTGGGGCCATAGCCTGTAGATCCACGGCAACGATTTTCACCTTCATTAAGAAATATCAATAATGAAATCTCAAAATGTATGCAGTACAGATTTTTGATCCTCTGGGGATTTCGATTCCCATAAACGTTTTGATAATACTTGTGACCAGCTACCAGGTGCAGCACACAAATCAACCACTCGTTCTAAAGGAGCATTTTCTGTAAAAGTGGGGAAGCAAAATAAATGGCAATAGGAGCTCTGATCTTTAATTCGAAAAAGTTCCCGATTTACAAACCAATCTGTAAAAAAACTGTTATTATTAGTTGACAAAATCTCATGTAAATACACCATATTCTTGAGTTGTAGCCGCTAAGACTATCTGAAGCCACCACGATGTGCAAAATTCATTAAAAGCAATTGATTATTTCAATCGACTTGACATTTAGTAATTTATTGGTACGACCGCTTTCCATCTATAACTTTGCAAGCTCTGAGATTGCACTAGTAGAATACTGTATCAAATTTAGCTATGTTTTAGTCAGTCGAATGCTATGATGATATGAGGGTCAAAGTGGATTTTTCAACGAAAACCTTAAACTAATGGTAGATTTCACTACTCACTAGCCAAGGAAAACTTATATGTAGCTGACGAACCGTTGGAATAGTACAGAAAAATCTATGACAACAAGTCTCAAACTTATGTGTAAACCAATTAAAACGCTTCTTTATCCAACTTACTAGTTTACATTGCCATTAATGATTGGACATCGTTGCATCTACTTTGTCGCAGTGGTTAAGTTTGTTTACTATAACGAAACAATTGAGTTATATTCCCTACATCACTTGTTTCTTTTCATTTTGTTAATAGACAAATCCGCCGGAAAGTGGGCTAACGGAAAGGAGTGAATTTCAGGTCCAAGAAGAAAATCCTGATTACTGGCCCTATTCAAAGTGTGGTGGGAACAGCCTTTCCCAGACAACCGGCAACACCGCTTTTAAATAAGTAGCAGAGTTGAAATAGGTTACGAGTAAAATAAGCTCCAATAGCTCCAATAATTCTCCTTTCTTATAGTGTAGTTTGAAACACGTGGACTAACCTTAAGAAAGTCGGAACAGCTATTCACAAAACAGTCGTGTTAGAGCCACTTAAAAGTTATCCCTTAGGTTGTTTAATGAGGTTCACATGTGAATAATGCCAGCATTCACACTATCTCTTCATAAGAATAATCATAACGGATTCTTCTATGACTTCAATCAGTTTGTCTATCAATCAGTGGACTTCTATAAAAAAAAATTTAGTATAACTCGAGTGGTATATTTCATTTTGCCCATAAATCTAAACCACCATACACTTACCAGGAGAAAAGATTCCATACTCATCATCAATTTGTAGCAGCTTATAGGCACTACGTGCTCTCCAACCCTCTTCTTTAGCTAATCTATAGTAAATATCACGTTTATCGCGTGAAGACTTCCCCATTATTGATGGCTTCTCTGAAACGGGTAAAATTAAAAGTATGCTTTAAGTTTTGGGGCAACAATCCCAGTAATCTGGTATTAAATTAGCACTATAGTAAACTGGAATCTGTTGACAGAACGAAAACTCACTATTAGTCTCTTTAGTAGGATAAATGAAACTAAAATATGGGCAACAATCATATCATAATGAAACGAACACTTCAGTATTGCTATTAAATGAGTGGATATAGCAAATAAGTATTGTAAGAATTTTTACATAAAACCAGAACACTAAGGCTAGAAAACTCATCTCCAATTTATTTTGTGTATATGTAGTTGTAACCAGCAAGTTTTTCGGTCCGAAATCATTGAATAGATTTCAGCAGTAATAAACACTCCTGTAACTGATACTTACACAACTCGTTAGCTATGAGACCTTTCCAAAGAGGACAGGAACTCAGATGGTTGGAGTTGAAAACTATTAGTCAGCAACTGCCGTAAAAATATTGGAAGGTGGTTCTACTTGAACCGACCAAATGATGATGATACAATTTGAGGAAACGTTGGGAGTGAGCAGTATAGCTGCCTACTATATAGCAACTAACACAGTAAGGGAGCGATTGAATCGACAACTGCATCACTGTGCTAATATGGTATGGCAACTTGAACTGATGTACGTACGTACGAAGTTCTACGTTGTTACTGACTGACAGACAATTCCAAGCTTAAAACATGTGAAAATACGTGAAGTATGACGAGTCAAAGACGAAAAAGAGCAGATACTAATATCCAGATGGATTACCCTCGGTAGATTTTAATTTTGGAGGATTAATTTTGGTTTAATTGACTGGGTAGTTAGTCTCGGAGTTTGGTGGCATTTCATCTAACTGATCGCAGTCACTGACGACCAAGTATTATCGATGTTTTCACACTGAGTAGTCAACGTTTGGAACCTACTGACAGAAATGGTTGACGTGTTACGGTCGTCCGAGTCTGACTGACAGAGCGCATCAATGATGCAAGCACTTAATAGACTCGTTCAAGAGAAAACTACAAAAATACAAAGGCCTACTGCGAAAAGACTAACATAGACCTCCAGCCCTCTTTCCTCAAAATACAAATCTCATCTGTTTAAAAATAGATAGTAGTCCGATTGTGATGATCAGAAAGGAATTATTTCAATCAATGGTGATTAAAGTCTAAGCTACTAAAATCCTTGGATGGTTTTCCGAAACATATGATCAAGGAGTCCGGAGAAACAAGCTGATAATAAGTGGAAAGAAGATTAAGATGATCGAGTACTTAGCTCATGAGATGTTTCAGAACTTGGAAATATTGCCATCAGTCCTTATAAGCACACACTAATAGTGTGGCCTTATAACTAATAGTAATAGTAACTCAGTTCAGCTTAGACGCACTTTTCTCGAACTCTTAGAATGCACTCACACTTTATAAGGAGAGAAATCGACAACAATCTGAAGTAAAACAAGCGAGAGATTAAGGGAATATTCCAATTGGGACCAAAGATTGACGACGCAGTATCGGCAACGCTTCAATGGTATCGTTCACTGATGTAGGTTGCGAGCACTTGAAGGTCAAACTGTCCCAAGACAGAAGCGGTAAAATCAAGACATTTTTAGATTTGAATTGAGTTCAGCTACACCATGTCTGATAACGTTCATTCTTCAAGTAACGAAGACGATGCCATCGTGATGATGCATGATATAGGACGAATCTTCAATGATATTATGTTATCTCGAAGATTTACAAGTTGGGACAATTTTCAGTTTCATTTTGGGAAGGACAGAAGGCCTGATGGCCTGTGTTAGTCCTGGCGATGGTGGTCCCTCATTTGATCCAACTTTCTTTTGAAATGATCGACGGATGGAGCCTCAACCATGTGCTGAGGTAATGAATTCCACTCGTTGATGATTCGATGGGAAAGTCCAAATGGTTCAAATGGTTGTGGACGGAATAGAAGAAGCTTGCACTTAACAGGCTTCCGTGTCTAGTAGCAGGGAATCACCAAATCCTCCTGGCAGGAACCTAGGTATGTTAACAATAAAAGAGGAAAAGAAATTGGTAAATCATAGTGTGATGCTGTCCTTGGTCCTTAAGAATAGGTCAAGTTGCATCTTGAAGGACTCCTGAGAAGTCGCTTGGACTAGCTCGGCCGGCAGCGAGTTCCAGCTTTTGACAACTCTTAAGGAGTAGAAGTTGTGTCTACATTCCGTCTTGCTATGTTGTGTTTCCAGTTTCTGGGTGTTACCCCTTAGGTTATTATTCGAACTAAGCTTAAGTAGGTGTTTAAGAGGATGTCCAGAAGTGTTAAGAATACTATAAGCCATTAATAAATCACCTCTAAGACGCCTATATCCTAGTGGGTAAAGGTCTAGTGAACGGAGGCGTTCTTCGTAAGGCTTAGATTTGAGTCCTCGAACTGATTTCGTGGCTCGCCGTTGGATACGCTCCAAAGTGACCTTGTCCTTTTGGAGTGAGGGGAGGGAGTACTATGTTTCCGTACTCTAAATGGGGACGGATGAAACTATTGAAGATTGTGTGGAAAGTTCTTCCGTCAAACTGGCCAAAAATGCGCCTCAACGTTACCAGTGCAAGGTTTGCTCGGAAGGCATTTTTGTCACAGTTAGCGTAAGACTTTAAGTCATGGGGCACCAGGACTCCTAAATCTTTTTCGACTTGGGATACTACTAGAGAGGAGTTTCCTAAGTTGTAACTGTAGTTTGCGACATGTCGCAGATGGACTACTTTACACTTTGAAGTGTTAAAGGTAAGTCCGTTATCGTCTGCCCAACTTTGAAGTCGGGTCAGATCCTCCTGAAGTGCCTGTGTAACGTCTTGGTTGCGTATCTCTCTCCAAAGTTTCACGTCGTCGGCAAAAAGTAATAAGTCTGACGTTACCTGTTGAGGAAGATCATTTATGTAGATCAAGAAGAGAAGAGGCCCTAGTACTGAGCCCTGGGGGACCCCACTAGGACATTCCATAGCCTCAGATAAAGTGAAATTAACCCTAACCTTAAAGTGTCGATTTTTTAGGTATGAGGTAAGCCAGTCGATTAGAGGTGGTTTGATACCTAGTCGTTTGAGCTTATTGATAAGACACAAGTGGTTAACCTTATCAAAAGCTTTTGAGAAATCAAGGTAAATGACATCAACCTTTCCCTTGCAATCGAGGATGCTTGTCCATCTGTCCACCGCAGTCAGCAGGTTGGTTATACAAGAGTAACCCTTCCTGAAACCATGCTGTTGGGGTGAGAAGAAATTTAAGGACAGTAGATAATCGTTTAAACCGTCGCATATCAGGGACTCCATGAGTTTTGAAGGTAATGACAGAAGAGCCACCGGCCGATAACTTGAAGGTTCATTGCGTCGACCACCTTCGAAAATTGGTGTGATGTGAGCCAACTTCCAGTTTTCCGGTAATTTGCCTCTTCTAAGCGAGTGTGAAAACATCACGCTAAGCGGCGTTGCCAGGATTGAGGCTGCCTCCCTCAGTATGGCAGGATGAACCATATCCGGGCCAGGAGAAGTGTCAAGTCTTAAGTGCTGCAATTTCCGGAACACCAAGTCAGCGCTTAGGTCCACTTCAGAAAGTCCTGTGGAATTGCAGATGAAACTGTCGTCAATAAAGTTGATGTCAGCCGGTTGAAATGTTTGAGAGTACTGTGCCGCCAGAAGGTTAGCGGCGTCGCCATCATTGTTGGTCGGGCCGTTAAGACTTAGCAGTTGAGAAACTCCTGTTTTGGCTTGACGAAAAGAGGCTGCGTAACGGAATAGGCTTCTAGGGTTAGAGGCGAATTTGTCCATAAGCTTTGTTTGGCACTGAAGCCTGTCTTCTCTTATAGCCTTCGTGCATATGTTCCTGATATGTTTATATTGCCTATACGCTCCATCGTTATTAGTTCGTTTATATTCCGCCCAACAGCGTCTTTTGCGGCTTAGCAGGCGAAGGGTACGGTTCTTGATTACTGTAGGTGGCTTGCAGCTTTTGGGAACCGTTTGAGGAACTGAATGGTCTGTAGCACATAAGAGCGTGTGCAGTAAGAAGTCCCAATGACCATCCACATCGAGTTGAGGGTGAACATCCCAAACCACCTGCTGTAGATAGTCATGTAGAGCTGGCACATTCAGCCGTTTAAAATTCCAACGCAAATTATTGTTGGGATACCTTAGCTTAGTTTTGATGACCAAACTGAAGGCTATGACGGCATGATCGCTCTTTCCCAGAGGAGCCAGGATTGAGAGGTTGTCGACTAGAAATTCTTCGTTTTTGAATACACAGTCTAAGCGCGATGGTGTCTGACTGTTTCTCCAACGAGTTGCCGACCTCACATTTTCACATAAGCCCAAGTTATCGATGAGGTTGAAGAACCGAGCTTCAGTTGAGTTGTCGCCTCCAGTGTACGTGTGTTCCGCGAAGTTGACTCTAGGGAGATTAAAGTCCCCTAGAATCAGGATGTGTGTGAAACCGAGACGGATAGAGCGGGATAGTCCTTCCAGCATACGACTATCGTACTCGGTGTCGGCAGTTGGCTTCCTGTAAATGACTCCGACTAGACACCTGGAAGTACTAGACAATCTTACAGAGCACCATATGGATTCCTCAACATTGTTAAACTCGAGGTTGTGAACCTGGTGCACTTCCAAGCAAGAGCTTATGTATAGGGCTACTCCGCCCCCAATTCCTGTTTTTCTGTCGTTGCGGAACAAAGTCATCCCAGGCAATGCTAACTCTTGGTCCGAGAACTGAGAAGATATCCAGGTTTCAGATATTCCTATCAGATGGGCCTTGTTAGCGTTGCTAAGTTCACGTAGTTCATCCAGTTTGTTTGGTAGACTCGCGGCGTTCATGTATAAGCAGTTTATGCTTTCAATTTGGAACGCGTGACCTTCGTCCTGTTTTTCTGTATGAACCTTATGTGAATGGACAGGTAGCCCACCTATATGAGGTTTGCCGAGGTGGTAGGCCCTGTCCTTTACACGTTTTTTTATCGTTTAGACAGTCCACAAGTGGAATGGTCAGCTCCAACTTGCCTTTGTTCTTGGTCCTGACTTCGTATGGCCTATCCGGGTCGATAGTCAGCTGACAAGTAATTTGTTCTTGGCTTGTGAACTTTTATGGAGTGGCCTCATAAATTCTCTGTTTTGGAAGACAAGAGAAATGAATGCATATCAGGTGCAAATTTGGCACTGAGCAATTTGAAAACTGTAATCAAGTCACCTCTAGTTCTGCGATATGACAAAGGGAAAAGGTTCAGCTTGACCAGCTTCGCTATTCCGGGAATCAGCTTAGTTACCGTTCTCTGAACCTTTTACAGAAGCTCACTGTCTTTTCTTAAGCAGAGGCTGGCCGCTTGTATGCACTACTTAAGTTTAGGACGTACGAAAACTGTATACAAAGTCAAAAACGTCTTAGCGTCGACATGACTAAAAGCCCTACGTATTGACCATAAGGTTCTAAAGCCTTTGGCGGCTATTGCACGGCAGTGTGCAGTGGTCTTTAAGTCTTGGCTAACGATGACTCCTAAGTCACTATATATCTGGACGACAGGTGGCTCAGTGTTATTCATCGTGTATGTATCTGTACCTTGATGACCGATATGCATCACAACACACTTGGGAGTATTTATCAGCAACTGCCAGGTTTGAGACCATTCAGATTATTTCTTCAGGTCATTTTGGAGTTCTAAGCTGTCACCCTCACATCGTATAGTTCTCCATATCTTGACATTATCAGCATATAGCAAGACCGATGATGATAGAAGATGAGGAAGGTTATTTACATACAAAAGGAATAGCACTGGCCCCAAAACTGTACCCTCAGACACTCCACTAAGCACAGTTCCCCAGCTAGATAACTTTGAGTTCACCCGAACTCTTTGTTGACGCCCAACTAAGAAGTCTTTTATCCACATAAATAGATTGCCTCCAATCCCGACATTTCTTAACTCATATAACAGCCGGTTGTGCGAAACCTTGTCAAAAGCTTTGCTGAAATCAATCGAGGCTACGTCTTCAGGTAACTTTTGGTCCTTAAGAGCGTACCCGCTTTCACGAACCACTAATAGGTTAGTGAGACAAGAGTTACCTATTCTGAATTCGTGCTGCGGTTTTTATCGAGATACTTAAACAGCTCCTTCCGAATAATCTTTTCTCAGATTTTAACAACCACACTAGTTAGGCTAACGGGGCGGTAATTCTCAGGTTTGTGTTTCGTACCTGTCTTGAAGACAGGACTTACTATGGCGTTTTTTCAGTCTTTGGGTAGACAACCCTGCGTTACGGATAGGTTAAAGCATTTACTTAAAGGGTTCGCAACGAAGTTAGATAATTCCTTCAGTAGCCTAGGATGTAATTCATCGGGCCCCGTGGATTTACCTATGTCAAGCTTATTTAGCAGACCAAAGATATCGAGTTCTTTAATGGTCACGCTATCCAGTGTATGTATGGGGGATCTGTATACGCTGACGAGAAGGGCGCTTCTATGGTATACACGTTGCTAAAGTAGTTCGAGAACACTTGAGCCTTACCAAAGTCGTCCTCCACTAGTGATGCGGCAGTACTGTCTCCCCATACAGCAGGAATATTTCCTCTTCGCTTTGTCCTTCGGTTTATATAAGAATACAAG